TTTGTTTTTCTTCTCCATTCTATCTTCGTATGATTACGACTCAAATTAATAATGGTTAATAATTTAATCATTTTTTTCTTCTGTTCTCTTATATATTTTTCAAGCACATATCTTTCTTTCTAATCGTCTTTCTTTTCCTTTTATAATAATAATAATAATAATAATAATAATAATAATAATAATAATAATAATAATCACTGTCTGGATATTGTTGTGTTAGATAAAGGTACAAAGAAGTATCATTTCTAGCTACTGAACATGAGAAACCTATTTCCCTGAAAAATTTCTTTAAGAGAAAGATTTTATATAATGGAGATGTTGACCTTCCACACCACTTCAAACAAAAGATTAAGAAGGAAACCCCCATCAGTACTAGAAAGAGCGATAACAGCTACTGGACTTGAGAAACTTTTTTTTCCTGAAAAATTGTTTTAGGAGAAAGATTTTATAAATTTTAACCGAAAATGGTGCGGTCAATGAATGCTGAATGTTTCCTTATAAGGAAACAGCTAATATGATCATTACCATTATCATTTGTCATGAGGTGATCGGAATGTACGATTTGAAGATCTTATTAAAAACAATGTTTTGCAAGCTAGATCGAGGGGTGGGTATATATTGATAACAACTTTATCGCCGAGTGATGTAATAAAGACATCCTTAAAATATCACTTGCTCCATCATATCAAAGACAGTACCGAGAAGTCATTTTAAGCGTGTCAACGATATGAGTGGAATTCTCTCTCCTCTTTGAGTTATGCACTAGTAATTATTTTTGCGTCTTTTTCTTTTTTGTTTTTTTTCTTAAAGTTACTTTTCTCTTTACAATGTTTTTTTAAGTAATCAAAGAGAAGTCTCCATTGCTAAACGGGACAGGAAGTGGGATATATGATTTGATTAAGATATTTGATCTTCTTGTAAACCAGGAAAGAAAGCTCGTGAAAATCATCTAATTACATTGTTTACAACCGATAATTCATATATGATTTATGTTGACGCTGTTGTCACTTGTCAAGCTGTATTTCGGACCGAGCAGTCAAGTGTCTTTGTGAAATTTGAAGTCAGGTGGTCATTCCTCTTCCTGATCCTGTAAACCTGTCAACTTGTATACGTCAAAGCACTTTATTCTTACAGAGTAGAAAGTACTTAGGCTGTTGCTGGAGGCTCCTTTAAATATGCCGTCTACTTTAGAAATACGAGCCTAGAAACTGAGTGGATATTGCAATTATGAGTTTGGGAAATCGTGTACAAGTTCAACCTTGATCTGATTATTACTCAGTTATTGTTTTCCCTACTCCATTCTTTCTTCGTATGATTACGACTCACATTATTAACAGTTAATAATTTCTCTTCTTTTTTTTCCTACTGTTCTCTTATATATTTTTCTAGTACATATCTTTCTTTCTAATCGTCTTTCTTTTCCTTTTATATGTGTTTCTGTTCTTTCATTTTTTTTTCGGTTCTAATTTTGTTGAAAGCAACAGTCTTGTTCTTAATAGAAATACAAGCTATTTATTTTATCTTCGACTTTCTAGGGAAAAAAATCCAATGTTACGCAATTCGTACTTCTAAAAGTCTTCTTCAAGTTAAGTAACGTTATTTTTATCGACGGAACCATATAGAGAGTGAAACACACAAAAAATGACATAATTCCATATCAACAGAAATTCTTAATAAATAGGAATAAATTATCAAAAGTATAATTACGCATGAAAATTTTATTTACTCTGTTATTTAATTGTTATATGTGCTGTTCAAGATGTCTTCCTTCTTTTTCAAAACCCATTTCAATTCTGTGCCTGCATCAGAGAGTTTCCTCTGTCATTTTACTGTATTCGTATTTAATTCTTTATTTAACTTCCTCAATATTTCGTAATCACTTTAGACGTCTTGTTAATTAAAATAATAAACATTCAATTTCTGAGAAGACTGAAAAGAAAAAGATGAAGTCATGTTATCAAATTACTATTAAAATATAGCAAACATCCCAAACGATGAAGACATGACTAGGATCTGGTTTTGAAAGTATTGTTATAAATTTGACTGCCATAATATGTAAGATTGCCTTCGGGGGTGGTGTCACATATTCACATATGTATACAAATGTACGTGGGTCCACATAAAGAGCTTTAATCTACAAGGGGAGACGAAAATAGCACACCATAGGGATAATAATTTATTAAAAGTTATAATTACATATGAAAATGTTATTTACTAGTTATTTAATTGTTATATGTGCTGTTCAAAATGTCTTCGTTCTTTTTCAAAACTCATTTCAATTCTGTGCCTGCATGATTCATTAACACGTCGAAGAGTTTCCCCTGTCATTTAATTGCATTCAATAACTTGAAAAACACCAATAAATGTCGGATAAGAATAGTGTACAAAAACAGTGTTAAAACAACAACAACAAAAAAACTGACAGCATATTAAATACTAAGAATAAATTCCAGGAATAAGTTGGATTCTTTTTTAAGTTCTTCACTATTTCTAGGGCGCGTTTTTGATAAGTAACTAATTTCAAATGGGCACACAGAAAAAAATCCATGGGTGTGAGGTCTGATGAATTCGGTCGCCACTCAACAGGACATATCAAAACAAATTAGACATTTAAAACATAAATTAAACCCATATGGTTCACAAGTTTTACCTCACTCTGTACAATGATGTTTAACTTTAAATTTAAATTTAAAATTTTTGTCGTCCGGTGTGTCTCAATGCAGAACTGTTATTAAATGTAAGATACAAACAACAACAAAAACCGTAGAACGCTAAATGTTTTTTTTATTTTTTATTTTATGTATCTGGAGACGTTCTTTCATTTTGTCATTCAATTACACACTATTAGTTTCAAATAAAAAGTTTGTGCATCATAATCATTCAGTAGAATTTCTCTACAACATTTAGAAAAAAAAAAACAGACAATGTGTTAAAGACCAAGAGAAAATTATCAGGAATAAGTCTCGAAGGTATTATGGTATTTGGGTGAAAAACTTGAAACAATTTATTAGGCTGAGTCATAGATAATTTCCTTTTATTCTTCAAAACAGAGTACAACCGATTTTATTCAAATATATATTCCCCATTATTTGCAATGACTTTTGCAACTTATTATACAGCTCTTCCATACGTTTTAAGTAAAATTTCACAGTTTTGAGTGTAAATTTTTTCGATAAACTCTTGAAGCTGGTTTTCATTAGAAAACGTTTTCCCATCAAAGCGTTTTTCAAAGATCGATAAAGGTAACAATCAGGTGAACATGGCGGGTGGGGAGAATAGACAAATCGAGTTCCAGGTTTTTTTCTATGTTTTTTTTTTGTTTTGTTTGCTTTATGTCATGTCATGGAGGAGAACTTTTTCTTTTCTTTTTTTCTTTAATCCGCCGTGTACACTGCTACTGTCGTGCAAAAACTAAGCTATGTTAGTGTCATTGAAATTTATTAACTGTCATGTATGATCAATAGTTACGCTAATACATGTTTTATTACAATTAGGTCTCCAAAAATGTAATCAATTATGACACAACCTAATAATATATCACTTCAAATCCAATATACTTTCATTACAGATATGTTTAATGTCATGTATTCGAAACAAAAAGAATAAGTTTAAAATCAAAGACTGTTTTTGTAATGTTCTCTGTAATGTTTTGTTCATTAATATCTACTAGAGAATTGTAATTTACTAAGCTTAGCTAAGTTTGAGGTGCTTCGGTGGAAGGTAATAGAGAACAAGTCTAATCTGGTCGATCATTACGAGTGATTATGGAGTTTGATCTTTACTAAGTGCCCCATACAATATTCGATATTAAATAACCCAACAAATAACCACAAATTTGATATTAAACTAGCAGCATGACCCGGCGTTGCCCGTGCTTGATTCAAAAATCGTACGACTCATACAGCAATCGCTATCACTTGACTTAAAATATTTTTGCCCTTCTTTGCCTTTAAAAGGAGTGCCTTTGCCGTGCTGATGTTGTTACATGCCTTACTTCTTGTCTATCTCACACTGCGAATTTTTTATACTAAACATTAAATCTGTTAGGAAAAAAGAACTAAACAAAATGAACACCAAACGATCAGCTTTCAAAAAGGACTCGTAACTGGAAAAACGGAATGAAAAAAGAATGTTAACAACAAATATTTTTTCACACCCAACCCAGTTCTGCGGAATCAGAATCAACGTTGAGTTTAAGCAAGCGAATGAGCCAATTGGAGTAAAGTGCCATGCAGATTTAAATTTTTCCTACTTATGACGAATGAAGCTATCGATTTTTTTTTGCATGCTAGTATGCTAGTTAACATTCGTGTCAGTCAGCTGTTAGCTCTCACGCTGGCCAATAGAATCTTCCTGCCTATTCGTGGCAGCCAACTATTGGCTCTCACTCTGGCCAGTAGAAAATGGCCGCAAACTACATGAAAACTGCCGTAGAAGCATGAAAAAATCGATTATTTCCACTATCGATGGGAGTTGGGAAATACAAAGTCGGTCTTGGCCTTCCAGCATGTGCATGTAAATTTTGGTGCCAATCCGTCGAAAATTGCGGCCGTGCATTCGTTACACACACATACACACACAGACACGCATCCTGCTTTATATAGATAGAGATAAACTAACATGTCGTAAATTCAATTCGCATAATTTGGTAAGTACAAGTTAGCCAGTGATGTTATAACTTACTAATCAGTAGTAATTGATTGGTTGCTTTATTTTCTACGGTTTAGCAACACTTTTCAGGTTATTAAAAGCCATGAAATATTTTTAGATTGTAAGAAATTTTTTTAATAGGGCAGGGGTAGATAATAATGGTTTAGTGATACAAGTTTTACTAATTACTTAATATCTGTGGGTTGCGTTGGGGTAGAAGAGGTGGAACCATACTTTACCCAATGGTACTTTCACGTAAGTGAATATACCGAAGCCAACTGGAATTGGAACTCGGCTCTTTTAATTAACAATTCTGAGCCGTTATCAATTACACCACCCACACATCCCAGCTTACAGCACCTGGTATTCCCAAGCGGTCATCCATTTGGGTACTGACAAGGCTAGACTTTGCTTAAGTTCGGTGATCATACGGAAACCGGTGTTTCAACGCAATGTGACCGTAAGCCTAAACAGTAGAAAGTTCAGTGGTCAACATGACTTGCTTGTTCACCATTACTTTATCTCGAGGCTGCCATATCTATCGTGTTGATGGGATAACCCAGTTTTTTTGTTTTATTTTTTTTTGAGGGGGGGTTGCTTTATGACTGAAATAGTTTTGGTCGGTGCTCGTGGTTGCTACTGGAGTTCAGCTCAAAAGTCAGGATTTCCCGTTTCGTAGCTTCCTCCCATTTCGTTACAAAGAAATGAGTACTGGATTAGTATGTGATATCCATCCTCATGTAAGACAATGAATGCTGGACAATCTCCCTCCGAATGAGGAGAAAACTGAAGGCAGCAGAAATGTTGATCTACAGAAGGATACTGAGAATTCCATGGACGGTTCGAGTAAGAAACAAGGTTGACGTAAAGAAAATAACATCAGAAGAACATATTCTCAGAATCAGGGAAGACAGTTAAAATTCCTTTGACACATAACGAGGAAGAGGGCTAGGAAAACTTAACCCTCACGAGGCATATTAAGATCAAGAGATATAGGGGAAAGAGCGAGCCACGAAAGTTTGTGTTATTGGATGAGGGAACGAGGAAACTTTAGCAAAAGGAAATAAACTGCTAATAGCCACACGGCATAGGAAGTTGTGAAGAGCCATGGTTGCCTATGCCCTTCAGAGCGGTACATAGAAGAAGAAATGAAACATAATCTGTTTATCTCATTTCATCCCTTATTTATTCTTGTAATGTGCCGTTCCCTTCAGAACGTGGGCGATCATGGCTCTCCACAACTTCCTATTCTTTGTATCCCCAAAAAATACGTAACTCTTTACTATCCCTTTTAGTCAATCTTGTACCCTCTGTTAACACATTAGGTTAGTTACTCGATGTTTCCCTCTGACTTTATTATGTCTTGTTAATATCAAATTCGCCAAGCCTTCTTTCATCATTTTATTTCGTCCATGATATTCTCAGTATGTTTCTGTAGAGCCATATCATTAACGCTTCAAGTCACCTCTTCATCTGTGAGGAAACTGACCAGTACTCAGTATCTTTTAGGAGAATGATATTAAATTACAGTTCAACACTCTTTTCAAAATTTTTTTGAATACTTTTTCGCTTTTGGACAGCATTTTTCGTTATTTCAATGTACCTTTAGAATCCTTTGTTACATCTTATGTCGTCTGTTATAATACCTATGCCTAAAATTCATAACTGACATCTTCTACTGTCCATCTAACTAAAGACCATACATTATGTCTTCTTATAAGGGATAATTAGTCCTTTCTTTCCGCTTTCCTTTACTAGCTTGTCTCGGGGTTTTGGCAGTTTTCTTTCCGTGATTGTCATTAGTATAGTGCCAGCAACGTTTTTAAACTAACTCCACGCCGGTCTTTTGAATAGGAGTATTGGTTTATCTCTTATTTCATGTTTAGCACTGGGTTTCCGGTTCCTTGTAAAGTCTACTTCAACTCTATACTTCTAACGTCTCCGCCTAAACACTGAAATTTTATTTACTATCTATTTTTCACCAATAGGAAATTGTTCAGCTGTCGTCCAGTTCGCACTCATTCCGGGCTTTTGAACAGGAATAGTGGTTTATCTATTGTTTCCTGTTTAGGATTGGGTTTCCTGTTGCTTATAAATTTTTTCATTCTCTTTCACTCCCAGTAGCCCTTTGCGTCTTAGTGGTATTATCACATTCCTTGGAATGAATTGATTAAAAAGAAAAGAAAAAGGAATCTATTCGGTATCTCTTCTGATGAGTAAGCGACCAAAACTTAAATGAACATCACTTCTCTACCCTGAAATAGCTAGGATCAGATATACATCTTGATATCTGTCGGAAAGACCGAAGAAATCAGGGTACTTTTATGGATGGGAAAACAACTATCGACATTGCAATTTTTTGTATTAGAAGACAAGGCAAAGTAATTACGCGCCATATAGGACAAGGTTGTTTGGATTGTTACGAGTAACTCTTAAAACAAGAAAAAGACAAAAGGTAAAATTTTATTCAGATTCTCAGGAAACAGGAAAATCCCAGCTTTGAAAAAAATATCAGAATATTTTAATTTTCGCTTTCTTTCATCGTTGTCATCAACATTCCTCTTTATATGCATACACCAAATTCCTTCGGAACGTGGGCGATGATGGTTTTCTGTTACTTTTTAAACGCTTTTTACCACACCTCTTTATATTTGTTCTGTTATCCATTCACACAAGATTCTTAAGTAGGTTACTCTCTCTATTTCTACATGCTTGTTTTGCGTTTAATATAGCTTGTGCGTGCTAAAATCTCTAGGCATAAGTCAGTACTGTGTGATATGCATATAGCTCTGTCCATGATTTCTGTCCTTATCTCTAAACTAGATCCCCACAAAACATACGGCTTTGATGGTTTCCTTGCAATAGTCCTTAAGAAATATGCTCCTGAGCTGACTCCTGTTCTCTCATAACTCTACAAAAAATGTTCTTGATGCTTTTCTGCTCGTTGAAAATCTTCTGTAGTTCCAGTCTTTAAGAATTCAGGTGAACCATCTGATCCTTCTTTTGGCCTGTTAGCCTTCTACATCTTTTTGGCAAAGTACTAGATACTCTAATAAACTCTGAATTGGTTAAGAAATATGGCTTTCGCTTCTCTAGGTCAAATGCTGATGTATTAACCGTTGTTGTTGAAAGCGACTGTTAAGCCTTAGATAAGAATAGTGAGGCTCGAGCTGTTGTTCTGGCATTCATTCGTTTACACAAATTAGGCGTTATTTCCTTGTCAGACATTTCAAGTGATTCTTTTAGCTTATAAGTGTTTCCTTGTCGTTCCTATTTTCATTTAATTATCGCCGTTTCTCACCTATTCCGTCTGCGAGGTCAGATATTAGTGATTTAACATTTATTTTCATATGTCTTAGTACTTTACTTAGTTTCTTGTAGACATTTCGCTGTTCTCATGTATTCTCGTATTTCCTTTCCCGTAAAAGCAACTGCAATATTCTTTGCTATTCTTTACCAAAAGACGGATCTCATTGCGCTATCTATGTGAACTTTTCCTCCTGCGTATGCTACCCATTTGTCACCAGTCAATCAACCTTTTGCTCCACCTCTTAACCTTTCTCCTGTGTTCTTCTCTCCTCTATTTTTGTCGTTTAATCTATTCATTTCTTATTTTGATCTGATCTTTGATTCATGTTATCTTTAAAGTTGCTTTTTTCATTGATCTTTGTACGTTCCAAAGTTTTCTTTAAACAGGTTTTGTTTATTTTCATATTTGAGGGGGAATAACAAATAATAAAATATAGACTTTTTCGGAATCTTTTCCCTCAATCAAGACACCAAAGTCACTATGGGCAGCAGGTTACTGAGTATGAAAGAATATAAGAAAATTTTTATTAAGGGGCAATAACAATAAAAGAATAGTAATTAAGAAGACGGGATATAACGATGGATATTGCACTTAAATTTTTGAAGATTAAAGTTGACTGGAAAGTCAGAAGCGAAAAGTTGCTTTTGTGATGTTGAATGGCTTCGCTTGTCACTTTTGCTATGTCAAGCGAAAACTCGTTATCACTTCCAAAAGTTCTCGTTATATTCGAGACTTTGTAGTAACGCCTTCCAATAATATCCGCACTAGTAATACTTGTTCAAGTAGTAATCGCCAAATAGTATAATGATCAGAAGAGAATCATAATCCGTATAGTAGTAGAGTAGAGAGAGAGAACATATAGCAATAGTGGATAGACAAGAAGAGTGAATAGTGATTGTATAGTCATCACACTACTTCCTATTTATTCGCTTTCTTTATGATCACGGGATCTTCTTAATAATGGAATTGCCCGTGTTACTCATTGGCGATCTAGTTTCAAACCACAGTATCGGCAACGACTTTTACTCTTATACAACAGTTGCAATAGAAGAAACTGTTAGCGTAGAACTTACGGTTACATCAGCTGTAAAATGATGAGCTCTAACCACCAATCTAGTAATTCGGACTATATGGGAGTCTTCATCAGAACATTTATCGTGAAAGTATTTATAGAAATGGCACGGGGAATCAACATTACGGCGGTGGGTAAGTGACTGAAGACGAAATGTCAGGATCAATAACATTGCAAATACTTTGTTTTTTTTTATCAGGGATCTCTAAATATACAGCTGGAGAACCAGATCTTATGTGGCAGCAGTATTCTAAGTATGGATGAATGGTAGACTTATAAATCTGTAAGAGAGATTCGGGCGAGTAAAATTGTCTAACTTTGGTCACTCTCAGCAGGGCTAGGATTTTAAAATTACTTATCGAAGTTAAATTTATTTGCTATAGAAAATTCTCCATTTATGTGCCATGTGCCTTCAGGATGTGGGAGATCACGGTTCTTTGCAACATCCTATCTGTTGCAGCTACAAGAGAGATTTGTATACTTACTCTCCATCTCAGTATCTGATCTGTCATCTATTTGAGCAAGTTCTTTTAGTAGATTTACCAGTTCAAAAAGCTTTATTTACTGTATTAGTGATAACGAAAGCTACGATGAAACATTGTTAAAAAAAAGAAAAAAAAACTGGTTAAAAGGACTTAGGATTCAAGTCGAAAAATTGTGAAACAACCAGTTTAGAAATTGAGAAGTCCTTAGTAAAGAAATATGAGCCTCCCGACAGGAATCGAACTTTTATACACCTTTTTCATTTCTGGAGACACCTTATACTCATAGATAACCGTGGCTTAACTGGCACTACTAAAAGAATAAGTTTGATTCCAGTTTGGCGGCCCAGTTTTTTTTAGTTAGGACTTCTAGATTTCTTGACATTAATTTCAAATAATACGGATATCAACTCAAACATATTTACTCACTAAAAATAATGTTTATAGTTATAGAAAATAATGCTGGATTAAACAAAATCATTTAAAAATTACATATATATACATATTCATATGCCACTGATGCTAGCATACACATAAATATTTGCCAAATTTCGATTCCACTAGTCTTCCTACGACTTAGGATATATATATATATATAT